ATTGTTATATTAGTTAATAATTTTAATTTGTAATAATTTGCAGCAAAAAACAAATTTGTGTAAAAACCACAGTTAATTGTGTTTAATTATAAAGAATCATTAAATTTTTGAAACCAAATAAACATTCTTTTCTGATTATTGTTCAATTGGTTGAAGAAATTGAATTATTTTTGTTGATGAACAAATTATGCGAACTGAAGTTATTGACTAACATTATATTTTGTTTATCTGGACTATCAATGTAAAAGTTATTATACAAAATCTATATCCAGTAAAAGGTGTCTTTTTGTGGGTTTTTATATTTGTGGGTTAATGGACCAATCAAATGCAAAACCCACAAATTATTATTTTGCTCTCGAACCATGAATTTAAATACACTTAGATAAATAATATAGTTTTATTATAATTAAAAAAACTACTTTATTTTCTATAACACAAGGCTTCGCACCCTAGAATTTTTTATCAAAAATTAGTATCGAAAAACGCTAATAAAACGGGTCAATTATTCTTTCCCGTTGCGAAGTCAATATAACACTGTTTTTTATGGAAAAAATGGTAAATAGAATTTACACAATTCCATGATAAACCCAGAAATAAACACTTTTTACTGTTGTTTTTATGGTGTTTAAAAACCGAAAACGCCGAATATTGAGAAGTTTAATTAAATTTAATTTAATTGCAAAATAAACTAACTGAAGATTACCTCGCATTTTTCCAAACAACTTTTAAACAACCAATTATTTAGTCTTCCATTATTTCTACCTTCATTATTTTGCATTTATCTCCCATTATAAGATTTGTATTTTGTTTATTTTTCTTCAGTAATTTGATAGTAGCTCCAGAACATACTTTAATTTCGTCGCATTTTCCAATTTGCAGTATTTTCAATACCCCTCCACACACTTTCACTTTCTTGACGTCTCCAAGTGTCGCAGAGAACTCAGTTTCTTTTGACTTATTTATAAAAGTGACTTTCTCCAAAGTAAAACCCTCCAACATGACATCACTTGTACTATTAAATATCTTCGATTTCTTAGTATCCATTATAATTCCATCAACACACAGTTTAGAAATATGATTGTCTCCACACCTCAAAAAGATAGAATTTGTACACCCAAAATGAAGTTTTTATTCCACAAGTAATTAATGAAAAAATTAACAGTAATAACACAAATAAAAACAATTATTTAATTAACTGAACGATTTTTACTTGTTACAACTTTATAACAATTTTATCATCATTTTTGATATATTTTATTATAATTAAAATATTTTGTTTTAATAATAAATTTGTTATTATTATTCTTATTATTATTAACAAGTTATCTTTTTTGTGTGTTTTTATTTCCATCAACTTTTTAAGTAAAAAACCCAATAAGAGATCAATCCTACACAAGGGAGACACCACAAAGGGTGAGTCGTCGAAAGTAGCTTTCGATGCCTCCAATAAGCGAGATCTCCCACCGGAAGTTATACCGGTGGCTGGATAGGGTCTGGTAAACCCTAAAGGCAATATACTAGGAAGAGTAAGTCGAGCCTTGTCACCTCGCATCTTCGCCGTTCCAGCAAGTCCCAACTCTGTGTTTCTAAAGGCTTTGAAGGAAACGCTCTGAACTTAGAGAGTTAGATTGTCTCTCCATTTGATCATCAAAACATATTCTTGCCATTCGAATAGCACAGGACCGCTATTTGACTTTGGTTTGGATAAAATCTGGCAATACCAGGGGCAAAGATGTGGGTTATAAAAGATGACTCCTCGGTGCTATGTAGACTCTTTAATTTTTATAAGAGTAAAGCATAATTGATTTCTTCTTTAAGTAAACAACCCAATTGCCCTTAATTATTGTGAAATATAAATAATAAAAAATAATAAACAAATTAATAAACAAATTTTATTTTGATATCATATATAAATTATAATAATAGTATATAAATAATAAAGTAAATATTGGTATAATTTCAATTAAATCAATGTTGAACAGGTTTACCTTGGGTTAGTGTAAACCGAATAATACGGAGCATTGTAAAGAAGGCTCAGGAAGACACACGCAAACAATCTGTTTGTGCACATGTTTTATCCACGTTTTATCTTCCCCAGTCGCGGATCACCCGCTTGCGGGAAAATGACATCTGCGTCGAAAATGGAATAATACTTGATAATTGTTTTGGTCATGATAAAATCAGCCGGTTTCAACACAAAATCATAAAGATATTATTTTTTATATAATAATTATAATAAAAACTGGTAAACAAAAAATAATAAATTGTAAAAAAAAATAAATAGATCACGATGATGACAAAAATTTGTCGAGCGACGAGGGAGTGCTTATCGAGAAGATAACCATCGATATTGATGGATTTTAATTTTTTTTTCATGTGACAACAACATGAAATGAGAACTAAAATTCAATAACCACTTTCGGAACCTTTCAAATTGTCTTGAATTGTCGATAAACATTAAAAACATGAGAAAGAATGACCATCGTGTACTAAAAAAAAGAAAAATGAGGGTTTGTGTTTTATCGGAATAAAAATATTGATGACGGGAAAAGTGCTAACAATTTGGGTTAATTCCAAAAATTGCAATCAATTAATCTTTTCGTTATAATTTTTGTTCAAATCTTGAGGATTATGTCTCTGTTGTTATAATATTTTTAAATAAGATATTGTGTGTCAAAAAATCCTCAGAAAAAATGAAACGGGTTTACAATGATTTTTTTTAAAGAAAAAGCAAAATTTACTTTTTTTTCTATACTTTTTGAAAAAAAAAATAAAAGGGGAAACAGCGAACGTGTAAAAAACAAAAATTATTTTTTAAACAAAGTTGTTTACTCAGATACACAAGTTGATTCCTTTTGGTCCGAACCTAATGTGTAATTTCGGTAAGTAGTTTTAAAAATTTATTCTATAATTTTAGTTTTTAGCATATTTTGAGTTTTAATTCAATTCTCCTTTATGTACATAAATACATCTTTTTAATTACTATCGGATATAGTTGTTAGACAGACTCTGAGTATTAATTTAATTATTAACAAACAACTCTCTAATTTTATCAAATGTAAAGTATTTTTATTTTTTTAATAATAAAATTGTTTTTAAGAGTGAATTAGTTGATCAACTTTAGAATTGTGGATAATGTCGTCTTCCTCTTTCCCAACCTCCAAATCGACCAAAAGGTGGTGGTGGGAAGCGCATTTGATTGCATCCAAAAGGATTTTGTCCCATCATAGGGAATGGAGGTGGGCAATACCCATAAAATGGTTGATGGTATGGTCTTCTACCAAAACCGCATCCAATTTGGTCATATCCAAATTGAGGTGGTGGGCAACACATGGGTGGTGGAGGTGGTCTGTTATACATTTGGTTCATCATCTGCCATTTCCACATTCTCTTCATTTGTCGTCTCTCTTTATCCATTGGACACTTCTCATGTCTTTTTATACACTTGTCGTAGTCTTTGTCACTTCCTTCGTCGACGTCTGAAGAAGAAGACTCGTCTTTCTCAGTTTCGTATTTGATGTACTCGTCGAGTAAAGTCTGTTGTTCTGAAGTCAAAGTCTTCTTGAACTCTGCAAAGTCCGTTTTAAGCTTCTCTTCATTTTCAATGCGCTGTTTCTCGGCTTCTCGCTTTTCCTTGCGGCATTTGTGGTGTTTACACTTTTCCATTTTGTTTTTATGAATTCATTTATTCAAAAAGTTGTTTATATATTTGGCCAATCCGATTTCAGTCATAGTAATCCGTTTTTATTAAAAATTGCTCAAAAGATTACTCATATCTATTTTGTTTTTTTTTCAATTCAAAACAATGATTTTTTGGTTTAAAATGAGTTTATATTTTGAAGTTTTTAAAGTTTAAAATTTAATAATAACTCATAATATGTTACTAATATTATTTTATTTATAATTGATAAAAACTTAAAGTAAGTAATAGGGATATCAGAGATCTTCCTGTTGTATTTTATTCTGGTTTAAAAGCATTAAATATTTCAAACTCACCTGTACATTCGGATACTGATTTTGATATATTAGGTTCACAGATGGTACTTACTTATTTAATTTTACCTGGTACAAAAATGTTATTAAGAGGTAAATTATTGAGATATGGCACTTCTAATAAAATTTTTTGCCATGTTGAAGATGGGACGAATAAAATTGTAAAATACAACGAACCTTACTGTCCATGTGATGACACGGAAGACTGGTTTATCGCTCCACTATTAAATGTAAAGTCATTGTTTGTTGAAATTAATCAAACTAAAATAAGTTCAAAAACACACTTAAAAAGTATTGATGAGTTCTCGTGTGAAAGTGTTTTGATTGGAAACACACAAATTTCATTATACAAAACGGACAATATAGTTCTGAAAATTTCAACACCAAAAACAATTAATATTAAATTGTTTTCATTTGACAAAGACTGTACTTGTAGTTTCAGATACAAAATTAATTTTTGAAAACAAACAGTTTAATGCAGCAATAAACATCAACCAAAATTTTAAGATATTTGTTTTTGATTGCACAAATGGAATATTCAACAAAACGTCTCAAAAGTGTGAAGACCCAACAATTTGTGACGATGTAAAATGTAAGTATTGACCCTTCAATAAAAACAGTTGTGTTTCTTGTATTAATCAATATGCTGTTGTTAACTCAAAATGTTAGCAAATTACAAGCTGTGAATATTCAGAATCAAATATATGCCTTAAGTGTGCAACTGGTTTTTCATTGAAAGATGGTTTATGTGTAAATGAATAAACTTGTTTACTTGTGCAATCAAATGGAAAGTGCCAGATATGCAACAGAAATAATGGGTATATAAAAATCAATGGTACATGTGTAAAAAGTAATGAAAATAGTGAAGTAATAACAAACTTTAACAATGTTTCTGGGAATAAAAATTTTGTATCCAACACAACAAATTGTTTGAAATGCAATGATTTATACATATATTCAGAATTGTGTGAAAATGGAAAAGCGCAAAATGTGACAGTTCAAGTCAAATGGATAGAAATAAAATATGTAAAATCAATGATTGTGTACTCCCAAATGACGAAAATGGCAAATGTACAACAAAAATTGATAATTGCATATATCTATCAAATGAAAAATGTAATGAATGTAAAAGAAAATATTATCTTACAAACAATATATGCAACAACAACAACAAAAAACCAAATTGTATATTACAAAACAGTTTTGGGTGTATGAAATGTCAAGACACTTATTATCTTGTTGAGTCGACAAAAAAAGTGTGAAGGTTGTGACCCAAGTTGTTTGACGTGTTATGAAACATCAACCAAATGTCTGAGTTGTCCACATAACAAGTTTTTGTCAAATTACAAATGTAACACAAATGAAGACTTAAAATTAACGTGTAATCAATTTACAAGTTATGGGAGTGGCTGTGTTGTGTGTAAAGACGGGTATTATAGAGTTGGACTTGACTGTTTTGAATGTGATCAAAAATGTAAAACATGTAACAATAAATACAGTTGTCTCACCTGCAATTTAACGAATTACAAAACAAATAGTGGTGACTGTTTACCACAGAATGATATCATTGGGTGTGCTGTGAATGTGACACAAAGTGGGTGTTCAAGGTGTCAAGATGGGTATTATATAATTAATACAAATGAGTGTCAAGAATCCAATGACAACTGCAATACATGTGCGTTATCAAGCAACAAATGTACTTCATGTAATAATTCACATGTGTTAATTACCAATGGAAGTTGTGTTGATGTATCACGAATATTCAAATGCAAAGAAATCACAAATTCAAAATGTTCAAAGTGTGTTTTTTGGTACATCACAAGTAAAGATGGCACATTGTGTGAGTTACAAATAGTTTGGTGGGTTATTTTTGTTGTAGTAATGTGTGTACTTATTGTGTTTATTGTATTAATTGTGTCAATTGTCATTATAACGAAAACAACAATTAACAAACTTCACACACATGAAATCAATAAGACAATAACACTTTTTGCAATGAACAAATCCAACATCAACTTTGTGCCTCTTCAAGGCGGTGTCTGTGTTTCATCAAATGTAATTGACTTGAATTCTGACATCGAGCAAATTGAAGTTAACAAAGATACCCGGCAGGTGTTGTGTGTAGGTAACACAAACAAAACCGCCACCAAAATACAGTTCACAATTTCATCGAACATCACAAAGTTTACAATTTGTATTGATCCAGAGGTTGTCACACTTAAAAGCGGCTATGCATGCGAGTTTTCTGTATATGTCAAGCCATTATGTTCTTGTAATATCAACAGCACAATCCAATTAGTTTCTAAAAAACTTAAAACAAATGAAGAAAAATACAATGAAATCTCACTTATTGGTGTGACACAACAGACTACTCGAATTGATTGCGACGAATTGATAGAAGACAAAAAACTTGGTGAAGGCTCGTTTGGTGTTGTCTACAAAGGGAGTTATAGAAGAAATGTTGTTGTTATAAAAAAGATGAAAAGTGTTTTAAATGATAATGGGGCAATGGATGAATTTGAAAAAGAAGTTGCTCTGCTTGATAAATTTAGGTGTAAGTATATAGTTCACTTCTATGGAGCAGTGTTTATACCAAATAAGGTATGTATGGTCACTGAATTTGCACAATTTGGCAGTTTTCATGATTTGATAAAACACAAAACAAGTGATGAAGTTAATATGAATGTAAGAGTTAAATTCATGTTAGATTCAGCAAGAGGAATATTGTATCTTCATACAAACGAAATATTACACAGAGACATCAAACCAAACAACATTCTCGCATTTACTTTAGATTTAAACGACAAAGCAAACGCAAAGTTGACTGATTTTGGATCATCAAGAAATGTCAACATATTGTTGACTAACATGACATTTACAAATGGTATTGGAACACCAGTATACATGGCTCCGGAAGTGTTAAAATTGGAGAAGTACAAAAAACCAGCTGACATCTATTCCTTTGCTATTACTATGTTTGAAGTGTTTGGATGGTCTCAAGCATACCGAATTGACACATTCAAATTTGCTTGAAAAATAGCCGAGTTTGTAACATCGGGTCAACGTCTTGAAAATAGAAGGAATATACCAGAAACACTATTTCAACTGATTGTAAAGTGTTGGAACCAAAATCCAAAAAAAGGAAAAAGATTAACATTATTGTCGATTCACTCAATGTGTTAACATTAAACATTTTTAATTAACATGTTATGAGTTTAATTCAAACATTCAACTCTTTATTTTTTTCAAGTAATGATTTCACGTTTTTAATCAGAATTATTTTTTAATGATATAAATAATTTATTCACACTTAAAATAACACCCTGTTTTTTAATTGACTTTCATATAGCACATCTTATGTTTGTTTATTATTTATTACAGTATTCTAATGATAACACATTAATTATTTTTGATAATTAAAACACAATTATAAAAAGTGTTCGTAAATTACAGAATCAAATTTTAAGGATTCGATGGTGCTGGTTCTACTTTGATCTCTTCCTCTTTCTTTTGCCTTTCCATTTCCTCTTTCATATTAATTTCGGGTTCTCTAGGTACTTGCGTGTCAATTTCAATGGTTTTCAGATGATAAGGTATCACACAACAACCGACGCAGTTGCTACAAGTTTTCTTAAACCTTAACACAATAGCATACACCGTACAGACCAAGAACCCTATTGAAGCAAAAGCATAAACCACATCCATAATTATTGTGAGTACGTTATCAGGGTATATAGTCTTCCAACACGAATCATCATCGGTAAGTCCAAGTAAATAGCCAGGACATAGTGTATACTCAGGTTTAACCAAACAATCTTCTGTGTCTGTGACATTGTATTTTACATAAGGACAATCAGTAAAATAAATAAATTTGGTTGTTGGTTCGTCAGAAAGTACCCCTTGTTGTTCTGTGTTTATACAACACTCGTGCTATTCATTATATGTCTAATTTTTCAATACAAATCAACAAACTTTTGTTTCATATTCAACTCGCTTTGTCATATTCGCAGATGCCCATGTGCCGGGGTATTTCACCGTACACGCAACAGCACACACAAACATGAAAAACGACACAAATGTGAAACACGTGCCCGTAATAATAAGTAGATTTTGGTACTTAACCTTAGTGGGTTTAAAGTACTTCGCAAAGATTGCAAGGAATGGAGGTATTATAAGAGCAAGAATATATATAAAAACTTTATATCCAACACCACCATCTGTAAACTTCCCAAAAGGTATTGCATATAACAATCCCATAATTGCGGAAATGTACGACATTAACACGGAAAAACCCATTAACGCTAATGCGGTTATTGGTAAACCGGCAGACTTTACTTTACTCATTGTGTTGTTAAATTAATACTTTTTAGATGTTTTTAATTCCAAATCATGAGAAATATTTTTGGTCTTATAATACACTATCATTAATTTATTAAATATTGAATTATACTTGAATATTGTCATTTTTGCCGTTTTCCTGTGATAATTTAAACGAATTTATACAAAAGCATCTTATTTTAACAGGTCGATGCTTTATTATGAAAATTTTTACCAATGAGGAATTTTAATAAACAAGTAACTAACATTGTTTTTTAATAATAATAAAATTATTTATTTATATTATTTTAATATTTGAATTTGTATTAATTATATTAATATAATATTATATTACAAATTGGTAAACATAAATTTATTCTAATTAACACCTAAAATAACAACTTGAACAAAATTAAAGTTGTCTAATAATCGGGAAATCTCGAGTTTATTAAATAAATGTCCGGTTTTTTAAAGATTATCTTTTGTTTATAACAATACACAAGCCAAAAAGGGAAAATTATCTAAAATTTAATTGATATCCCAGTAATAACAGGTCAATGAAAAAACAAGTGTATTTTTTCAAGTGTTAATTATAATTATAATTAAAAAAACTAAATGTTAAACAAGTTTTAAAAACAGATTTTATAATTTTGATTATAGTTATTATATATAGACTAAAATCATTCTTAAAACCGTGCAACTTTGACTTGTTAGTGCAATTTTGTTTATAGTATAATTATAGTAAAAAAATTATATGTTTTTAGAAACAAAACAAGAAAACACAACCAAATTTCTTTAAAACTATTACTCTAATTAATATACTATAACTAAACTATAACTAAAGTTGCACAATTTTTCTCAATTAGTTTTTTGGGTTGCACCATTCAACTGTCTTTTGTTTACCTAATTTTTGCAGCGAAAAAGTCTTTGAATCACACGAATTGGCTTCTCTCATTATTTTCTTTTATAAAGAGATGTTTAACATCTGCGCCATCCCCTTTGTTGTGAATAAAAAACAATGAAAAAATAAAGTTGCACACTTATTCGGAATGACTTTATATTAAATTTGGTTATTTAATATAATATAATATAATATAATATAATATAATATAATATAATATAATATAATATAATATAATATAATATAATATAATATAATATAATATAATATAATATAATATAATATAATATAATATAATATAATATAATTATATAATATAATATCATATCATATAATATAATTAATAATTATAATTTTATACAATTTACTATATTTTACTATACTATTATGACAAACTAAACAAAACTCAGTTAACAGTTTCGCCCAAGAAGTTAACTGGATGCCCATCACCGAAAGTGATGACGAGGAGTGGGAGGCAGTAGGAGTACTCCCAATTGAGTGGATTATTTACAACATAACACTTGCTTTTTTCGATGAGCAGACTTTTATTTGATGGTCTGAGGACATAAGCCAATATGAGGTGTGAGTTACCTTTCGAGTAACCGACAGAGATTAATGGATCCGCAGCAAAGTACTCTCCGACGCCCATAGCCTGGCCACATCGTCTGTTTGGGTCGAACCCGTTCATACAAATTCCATTAATAGCGACATCATTACTTCCATGCCAACAGAAGAACCCGTCTGTGTCGATATCACCAAAATTGACCATTTCCTTAGCAATCAGAAATCTTTCCATTGCGGGGCAGTTATCGAGTAAGTAACTGTTGAATTGTATTGAATTTTCCTTTTTAATAAGATTTTTAGGTGTGGCAGAAGGCTGATATGTTAGATTTGGTTTCCAAATAGGTTGAAAAGTGTTGAATTTGTCGATACCCAAATCGACGAATTCTCTTCCCTTCTGGATGAGTTGTCCCAAGAACGGTTTGGCCAAGTTCTGTTCTTTCATATTATCTTTAGTCGAGTAGTCCTCCACTGTATTATACGACACGCCAAAGTCGATTTGTGCGTACCTTTCAATCACCTTTCTGATGTTTTTTAAGAACTCAATTTTCGTGAGTGGGTTGTAGACGTCCCTTTCAAACGCTCCCGACGTGAAGATCATTTTTAAAGTGTGTGAGTAGAGCTTTGGGGAGACAAAATTGTACTTTGGTGGGATGACTGGAAACATCGTAGACGAGAATTGAAGATCCAACTTCACAGAGTCTAACAAAGACAATTCCATTAAGTGTTCCATATCCCTCCCAATGTGTGTAGTTGTGTCAAAGTTATTGAAATCGATCACCCAGTGATATGGATTGTCATCCACTGCGGTAATAACAAAACCAAGTTCTTTGCTGTGGAGAAACGACTCGATGATGTCCGCCTTCAAGTTGTTGTAAGCAACTTCCGTGTCAAACGAAAAGACGTCTTGTGAGGTTCTTCGGATCTCAGCTCGCTTCTTGTCAAGGCGGTCTGAGAGCTGCTTCTTCTGGTAGGAGACGTCATTTGAGAGTGTTTGCAGCCGTGTCTTCTCATCATACAAAAACGTTGCAAGTTGGTTTAAAGCGTCTGTCAAAGAATACGGCGGGGTGAGTTGCCACGTCGTCACACAGCGAGTAACAACACGGTCATATTTCTTGCCAGTGAGTGTTAGAATGTACCGTGACGGTGTTGTGACGTGTGAATGGATATACAGAAGATCAAATTCCTTGTCATCAGGAACATAGATCATGTGCAATATGCTTGTCGTGCTGTTGTATTCTAAAAGACAGAAGTCCGGGTTGGTCGTACAAAATGCTGTGCATTCGTCTTCGATTGAATTCATTTAATTTTTGCTTTTTAAGTTGTTTGTTGAATAATTGAGTCTAAATACTTGTTCGAATTTAAATTTAAATTTTTTTTAATTGTATTCATCTTAAGTACTTTTTTTCATTGTTTTGTTCAATATAGGTAGTCGTGTTTTTTTAGTATAAGACAAATCCTATAATTAATTATTATTTTATTATTATGTATACTATAAAAAATAATGACTATAATCACTGAAAACAGTTTTTTTATTTTAATTAATGAAAAATAAACTCATAGTTATAGTTGCTAAACTATAAGTAGGAGTTGTTATATTTTTATAAATTATCTTATCTTAATAAAAATAATTACTATTCAATTGTATTTATCATATAAGTTTGTTATAAAGAGAGATAAAAAACTGTTTCCACTTGTTTTTATGAATTTTAATAATATTGGTATAATAAAATGTATTTTAGTGTTTACCACGAAGAACGGAATTCCGTGTGGAAACCTTTTCTGAATGAAATGGTAATTTGTTTTAATAAGTTGTACTATAATGTTTTAAGTTAAAACGATAAGAATGATAGTAAGCAGTTAAAAATATGAAAGCGTTTTTTATCCCCCCTTGTATGGTTAAATTTCAAAACAATAATTAAAAATTACTAGTGAAATTATTATTTAAAATATACGTTAATTTTTAATAAAAACCGTATTTTATATGGTATAATTATAATCATGATTTATTTTATTTATTTTATTTATTGTAAACAAAAACTTAATTATAAATAAAATTTCAAACTTTGGATATACAAATTTTAATTATTCGATTTGTAATTTCTCACAAACACAACAATTTCATCTTCTTTAATTTTAGAAATGAAATTACTATAAAATTCGACTTGACCCTTTTCAATGTTTTTTTCACTGTTTGGGTATAAAACATTTTCACACGTTTTCGTCTCATAAAGTTTTCCACACAACATTTCGTTCTTTAAAAACGTCAGTAACTCTTTATCTGTATTAATTCTATTAAATTCATTGATATTAAAAACGACTAAAAAAATGTCTGATTCCTTTTTGATCACCACCTTTTCTGTAATTAAAAACTTTTTTCTCCCAAAGTTTTTCACAACAAACTCAGTGCGGCTCTCGACATTTTCAATATCAAACCGGTCGTTGTTGTAATCAGAAATATTCCCAATTTTACCAACAAGTCTAAGGTGGTAACATTGTCCAATAACATCAACTGCTGAATTTGAATAATAAAGAACGTCAGTGTCACTGTTTTTTAATATCAGCTTTTGGCAACACCCGACGTCTTTCACAACAAACTGTTGCAATTTAAATGTGTCGCATTCATAAAACGAACGTGACGAAAAGTCAAGTTGTTTAAAAGGGCAACAAATGTCGAATACTTTTAGTTGTGCCATTTCACTACTAAATTCATACAAATATTTTTGTGACTTCAATTTAAGACTTTTGGTGTTTTTCATATTGAAAAATTGCGTTTTCTCTATTATTCGTCTTCTGTCGCAAAAGGCGATGTTACAGTTAAATTCGCACATTGTAAATGAAATTTGAAGGTTTTCCATTTGAATGCAAATGCTTTGGTTTGGTGCTATAACAGTGATTTCCTCCAAAGTAAATGGAGTTGATACAAAAAGTTGTTTTTCAATGTTTTTGATATTTATTTTTAGAGTTTTTAAATAAGTTTTTGAAATTTCAAAATTTATACCATCAAACGACTGACACGTCACTTCTAAGTCTCTCACTAAACTGAATTCCCCGTTTTGAACAATTTCTTCAATATTTGTTGTGTTTATTTTATCATTATTTACTATAAAAGGTTCTTTTATATCAATAACTTGTTTTCGTGGTTTAAAAAGTTCAGGAAAACAGTAAAAGTTAATATTAGAGACTCTATTTTGATATTTAGTAGACTTGGATACTATATTAATAGTTAAATATCCATTCATTTGTAATAACTTCTCTAAACTATTTAACATCTCTTCTGTATCGTTTGTATATGAACCATAATAGTCGATATACAGAACTAACGTTTTGAGGACTTTGAGTGACTTAAAGTATTCCATTTTCATTGAATTAATGTGCTCGGCATTTACAACAAATAACTTCTGAAGGTTTGGGAAGTTCTCTAAATACTGACAAAGGGACTCCTTTGCTGAAAATCTAAGGGAAATCACTTTGTGTGCAATTTGTTCGTTGATATCGGCTAAATGACACACAGAAAAAGATAAGTCGATCCACGTGATTTGCTGTAGTTGTTGTTTTGTTAATTCAATTTGAGCATTTGATATATTATAATAAAGCGTGTTAATATGAGGGAAAAAAATCAAAAAAACAGGCATTTGTGAAACAACACCATATGGATTGATGTGAAGCATTTTAAGAGCTTCTCCTACATTTTTACTAATTTTTCTAAATACCATAAATTGTGTTGTCCCTTTTATATACAATGTTACAACAGATAAATAAAAAGGTTCCAATTTAGTTGGCATTTAAATTGTTTAAAAAGTTGTTTTTTGATTTTTATATTTTTGAAATTTTGAGGTTTGTCTTTTATCAGTTATTTATAATATAAATAGTTCAAAATATAGTTTTTTGTATAAGATCTTGTTTTATATATAAAAAACCAAAGTTTTTTGTGATTGTTAAGTAAATTTTTATCTGTTTATTTTTATTCCAGTTTTTAGTTTGTTTTAAACTTAATTTACAAGTGTATTACCTTTTTCGATGGTCCTTAATTTTTTTTAATCGTATACTCGCTCAGTACAATAAAATTTTCAAAAGTGGTAACTTTGAAAAGTCGGTTCTTTCAAAACGACATTTAATTACTTAAAGAAACTTTGTAATAGATTGGGTTTTCGAGTTTGATTAGCTATAAATTCTCATTATTAAAAGAATAGTAATTACCAAACAGTTTTTATAATAGAGGTTTGACTGTATTTAATAATTTGAAAAAAATATGATATTAACATTTTTATATTTCTTTTTATCATGATCTTCAAGCACCATGTATTTTCGAGTATCAATTACTTTAATAAATGCAATGTTGGTCATCAAAAAATACATTTCTTGTGTATTTAAAGTCGGTCAATTTTACATATATTTTGTCGTTTGAATCAAATAAAAACATGGGGCGGTTATTTGGATAAATAATACTCTGTAATTTGTCGTTCTCGTGTAAATAAAGTATTTTTATTGATGTATAAAAACATTTTTTCTTAACTAAACATAAACCATTTGTAAAGTTTTTGTTTCTTAAATGTTTATAATGGGTTATAAAGTGAAAAATTAATGACCATTTATTGTTTATTTCCAAAAGAACGATAGATAAATGTTATGTATTTACTATTAAATTTGTTGAACACAATTGTTTAATAAATTCATAAATGTTATTTTTATTGTCTTATTGACAAAAAAATAATTGATTTTTTGTTTTAAAATGGAAATTAACTAAAAACGATAAAAATGAGAAAAATATTGAAACAACGATTTTTGGGTTTTTCAAAAAAATTCACGTAATTTTTCATTTATAATGGTCCTAAAATCGTCAGACAACGTTCCAAAATGATACTATTTCGAAACAATTTGAAATAATTATAAAACAAAAACTCAATTGTGTTTAATTACTAGTTTGTTATCCAACAATAAAAAAAGATCGAAATTTAAAAACCACATTATATTTAAGCTATTAATTTATTATTTGAAAAAAGTAATTATAAAAAATTACCCTAAAACATGATATTATAGGGTAGATAAAAACAATATTGTTTCAATTTTATTAATAATATGTAAAATATATAAGTTGTTATTATTTAAACAAAAAAACTGTAAAAAGTAAATAGAATGTCAACTTTATCAAGTTTTCATGTAATGATTGTTTCGAATTATTTTGTTACAATCAAAGATTTTATCAACTTAGAGTTTGTGTGTATAAAGTTTCGTGGTAATATGAATAAGTTTCACTTCAACCCAATTTCATTGAGTTACAAAACGATAAAATATTTTCCAAACATTGAGACTCTTCATTTATATCAAAAAGATGACGAGAATTTTGAAAATATTATTTTTGTCAACACGGAAAATATTGGAAACAATGATGTTGATGAAGATAACGAATACATTGATGAAAATGAAGATGATTATTATAAATACATTGAAGACACTGATGGAGATGATATAATTGAAAATAATGAAAATAATGAAAACATTGATATCAAAAGAAACGATGAAGACAATAATGATAATGAAGACACGAGCAATGACGAAAAAGATGAAAACTTTGATGTTAATAAAGACACTGAAATTGATAAAAGTGACAAAAACACCATCAATATTCAAGAATTAAATATAAACAAACAAATTGTTCCAACAAAAATGTTTTATCAAATCATTGTTTGGTTTAACGTTGATTATGTCACTGTTGACAATAACAAAGGTCGAAAAATTATGTTTAAAAATGTTACTTACACAAAAAACAATAGACAAAAATTTGGTAATAACATTCCATTTGGTGTGACATCAATTGGTGATCAATGTTTTAAAGCATGCAAAAGTTTAATAAATGTTACAATACTTTCAAGTGTCACATCAATTGGAAAAGGTTGTTTTGAAGTATGCAGCAGACTGAGCAGTGTTGATATACCACCAAGTGTGTCATCAATGGGTGAAAGTTGTTTTTGTGGATGTAGTAATCTGAGTTATGTTACAATACCATTAAATGTCACATCACTTGGGGATTGGAGTTTCTATAAATGCACCAGTCTTAGAGGTGTTACAATACCATCAAATGTGACATCATTGGGTTATAATTGTTTCAGAGAATGTTTCAGTTTGAGCAGCGTTAAAATACCATTAAGTGTGAAATTATTTGGCAATAATTGTTTTGAAGAATGCATCCGTCTAAGTCGTGTTACAATACCATCAAATGTGACATTAATAAATGATCATTGTTTCAGAGAATGCTACAACCTGAGCAGTGTTAAAATACCATCAAGTGTGTCATCAATAGGTAAAAGTTGTTTTTTTAATTGTAGTAGTCTCACCAGTGTGACAATACCATCGAATGTAACATCATTAGGTGTTGGTTGTTTTCCAACATATACAGTTGTTAATCGTGAGTAATTCAAAAACGAGTCTTTACTAATTAGTTTATTAATATTTTAATATAACTAAAACGAAAAAGTTAATTAATTGAAAGTCACAATCATGAAAGGTGTTTAAAAAGTTTTAGAACCGGTTTATTATTTTTTCTTGTTTATATATAACAAGTTTTTAATAATAAAGAGTAACACCAATCTATATAAAGTGCCAATACATCATGTCATTGTTTGAAATATTTATAAAAATTTAGAGTCAGTCATTTATTGTTGTTTATTTTGCAAAAAAAATACAGAACATACAAAAAAGTTTATGGTATAACTTTATAAAACAGTAAAAACCCCAAATATATTTTTGGCGTTTCAAAAATGCCAGTTACATTACCGTTATTAATATTTAG